TTGTTACTAGAAGCGATGCACTTGTTCCTAGTAGCTTCTTGTTACTAGTAGTACGGCCAGGAGCCCCTAGTAGCGAACATTGTTCCTAGTAGCGAGGCCAGGAGCCCCTAGTAGCGTCCGATCGCTCCTAGTAGCGATGCCCTTGTTTGAAAGGAATTCACTCGGTGTTTTTCTAGTTTTGGCTTTGACCACCAACCCATGGCTACTTGCAGCGAGTCATATCCGTTCTATCAAGCCACCCTTTGCTGATCATTTGGAAGAAAAAAACTGTTTTACAAGGTCACAAGCTGCCTTTCTTTCTGTAAGGCCTTCCTTCAGGTTTTAATACTTTGCTTCCCTGTTTTCGGAACAGGGCTATGTGCCAGTTCTAGCCAGAGTCTTTCTACTCGCAAGGGCACCAAAGAAAGAAAGAAAGATTGAAAGACACATCATAAACACAATCAAGTCGAGAGCAAAAGAATTCACACAAGAGAGCTCACGTGGTCGAGGCGCCCGGTCGACAACTTGGTTGCTCAAAGACTTGGCCCAAAGAACCACCTTCCAAGGCTGGGTTTATGATGGATGGACGGTCAACATGGGCTACGGGTAGAATGTGGGAATGACTCTTGAGTCAAACGCCTTAGTGGGGGGACGATCGTTGCCCAACAACAGTGCCACCAGGCCGCCGGGGCCCACAAACAGTTCCTCCACCCCGACCGATTGGAACCATGCAGAACTTTACCACAGGTGCATTCATTCAGTTCCTTCCTCCCTTAGGAGCTGCTAACGACAGCGAAAGCAGCCTTGGCTGGGGACTACCGTTTGGAGAACGCCCATTGGCCGAGAGAACAGATCCTGCACACCTTTTGCGAATGAGGAGAAATGGGTTTCCTGCACACCAAGCAAGCGCAGTGGGCAAAAAAGGACAGACAAGCCACACGAGCCAGATCTCCATGTTCTTTCCGCACAGTTAGCAGCTGTTCCACTGAGTGTCATATCACTCAGAAGTGCGTTGAAACGTCTTTAAACTGGATCATGGGCGCCATGGCCTTCCTTTCGCCGTCAACAGCTTCATTGCCCTCGAGGATCCAATATCTTCTCAACATGTTCATCAAGCACTGGCCTGTAGAATGGACAAACAACTGGCCATGGATGCATATTTGAACGGTAGTGAACACCCCTGTCTGTATCAGAGAGTGTTGCTGTAAGAGTCCAAAATTCCCCTGAAGATTTGCACTGCTTACTTGCTGCTACTCACAAGCACTTTAACTACAACTCTTTGCCGCGACATGACGCGCTTGTGGTGAGATGCAGAAGCGGAAGGTGGTGCAATACCTCAGCAAGTAGCTTGATTTGGCAAAAGTCCCGCTCAGGAGTCGTTTTGCTATGCAGCAACAGTTTGTGTTTCTTTGGCCAGAGGTCGGGATTTGAAGATACATAAATATAAACGGACTGTATTCCATTCTCAAGTTCGTTCGTTCACGCCTTATAACGGGGGTGTCTTTTTCTAGCGTACGTGTCAGCCTTCATGTCCAACATAGGAGGGTGGAAGCAGGAAAGAAGGAATCATTCAAGATTCATGCCCAAGTAGGCAACATCCTTGTTCAGGGCAAGACCCAGGGTGTTTATCAAACCGCAAGAATTTTCCAAGGTACATCCGCGGATTGAATGCAGATCAAGTTTCTTCGAGAGCCTTGGAATGCAGATAGGTAATGTCGGTCAAATCATATCAAGTTATCAAGTAACTCAACTGACTTGCTGCAGATGGTGATGTTGGTGTGTGTGTGTGTGTTGCGGAGCCAATGGTGATGTAAAGGTCCTACTGTGTTGAAAAGGACAATTAATTTACCTGCAGCACACTTCACACTTGCTTGCAGAACATTTGTCCCAAGAGCTACAAACAATTGAGCAGCATAGTTGCCAAAACAATAGCAGGAACATGCAAATCATAAAGACAACATGGTAGGAGCGAATGTAGGAGAGCGGCGTGTTCACTATGTTTCAACAGCTATTGAGTGGTAAATCACACTGTTTTGTGTGTTGTTTTGTTTCAGCGGCTCTTGACAAAGTGTTCAACTCTTGCCGTGTTTGTGCCACAGCTGGCCGATAGCACTGTACAAGGACTCTTCGGTAAGTTTTGTGAACTGCCCTTGATTTATGTACTACTGCCGCAACTCTTTTCTTTGATTTTGCCCGTCTTCATCCAGCGTTACAATTAATTGTTCATCCAGCTGAACAAAAAAAGCTCATGGGTTCGCAGATCATTCACGACACGTGAGGTGAAAGTGCATGCAGCTTCATCCTAGATGCACTTGCAATCGAACGTCATTAACCCCCCGCCCAACCCACATCTATGCGTTGTTGATAATGTTGCGCGAACAACGTCAACAAAAAGTGTACAAAAACACGCACAATTGTTGTTGTTATTGTTGTTGCATTTAATTTGTTTAGGTGTGCAAGTGGTGGTGCAAGAGAATCTGATCAAGAGTCATAACGAAGGTGATGCATGTTTATTGTTGACAAGACTCCTTGCACATGTTGTTGTTTAGTTTTGGTTGCATTCGTTGCATAAGTGTCGAATTTGTTTCTAATAGCGAACACTGTTCCTAGTAGTAAGGCCAGGGGCCCCTAGTAGCGTCCGATCGCTCCTAGTAGCGACGCCCTTTGCTCCTAGTAGCGTCCTTGTTCCTAAGGACTCTTTTCGGGCGAAGTGGAGCTTCGAGAAGCTGAGCTGGAAGCGGAACCGCTCAACAAACTTCTCGCTGGGACAGTGCCGTACACCCTGGAGGTCCAGTCACGAACAAAAAGCAAACTAAAGTTAACAAGCTCCAGATTGAACCTTACAAGTGAGTTGTATCTTTTTTGCGAGGTCCTGGCAGTATCCTGTGATCGACTCTCAGTGCAAGTTCCATGGAGTGCCCTTCGCACCCGACCGGTGCAAATCAAAGTGGGCTGCTTGCGCGTTCAGGTGGATACAGCCGCATGAAGCGATCACTGAGATATATTGTGTGTTACCTCAACCGTTTTCAACTTGGCTTTGCACTTTTGAATCTATTGATGAATCTATTGAACCATTGTCAGAAGACTACTTGCAGTGGAGCACTTGGATGAAGTGTTCGTGATGGAGCTGCATTTTGTCTTCAGGTCCGTGTTCATAGCGCTGAAGATGTCCAATGGGCGGAATTGAGGGCTCCCAGCACGAGCATTGCCGCTGCCCGGAGTGAAGCAAAACCACAGGCGCAGCCGTTTTCTGAGGTGACAGTTCAGATGAGAAACCGAGAATTCAAACGGTATTTAAAACAGGTGTTGGCATCAGTGTAGAATCAGGGCACTTGGATGAAGCTATCAGGGATTTATTTTTCTGCTACCCCCTGCGTGCAAGAATGTGCCCAAGAAGGCCCTGTTTGGCCAAAATAGCTGGCCGTTCAATGCCAGGAGAAGGTCAGTGATGAGCAAAGGAGCTTCAAACTCTCAGAAGCTCAGACATGTTTGAGAGGTCCGGGAAAATGTTTCTCGGTATTCGCTTCCGGATGGATCAACATATGATTTGTGAATCTGAAAATGACAGAAAGGATTGAGAGGTTTTCTTGGATCATCGGCGTTTGTCATTGGCACCATATCGCTGCAATGAGCCACAACCGCAGCGGTGTGGTCAGCACGCCTAAGGACGTGAAAGTGGCTGTGATCGATGGCTTGCTGATTTCACTGGAGTCTTTGCATGTGCTTTCTACCCACGTAACTGCGTCGTCAGCGCAGCCTTCGCTCCTTTGCTTGAAAGATACCTGTCCAAAGTGGTCAGTACTTGGATTTGTGTGGCCAAAAATGATCGAAGACCCAAGGTTTGCCTTTGAATTTGAACTGAAGGGGCTTTCTTTGCAGCCAGTGGCCCCTGCTGGAGCCAAGGAGTTACATTTCAGATGTCTCTCACTCTGAAAGAAGCTTTCAACCATAGTAGCTTCTTGTTAGCTCCTAGTAGCCTGGGTGAAGGCTCCGCCAAGGCTGTCCTGGTGAAGGCGGACCTGCCTTGTTACTAGTAGCGATGCCCTTGTATCTAGTAGCTTCTTGTTACACCATGTTTAACCCTTATAGAAGCGTTTAGCTTGGCAGACAATTCGCTCCTCGAGTCCAGGAGCGAAAAGCCAAGCGCCTGCGACGTGGGGCGTGGACGTCGTTGAAGCGCCGGTTGGAGGTGCAACATCTACGACTAGCTGCAGCCCACTTGACGGGCAAAGCGACGAATGATGCAATGCTTGACATCAAGAACTTGAGTTCCATGGCTGAAAAGACGGAGTCAAGGTCGCTAGTAGGTTGGAGGCCATTGCAAATAGGTTGGAGGCAACTGTACGTTACACGATTGAAACCTGCAAACAAATCATTCGGCATCGCACTCTTAAGTCTCAAGCACCAATCTAATAACCATTTCTAGTGGGATGCTGGATACTTGGAAAACTTGAACTTGCTGTTTCTAGTTTGGCCACCTGCCAGTAATTACTGCAAATCTAGGACATCATAATGGCTCTTGGTATAAGTCCCATGAGGTGGCTTGCATTTTACGTCCCAAGCATGGGTCCCATGATGTACCCGCTTTGCAGGTTTGGACCTGGTGGAAGGCAGAGATATTGGCCGCCGTCAGGATCATCGCAATCCTTCTGCAAGGATGGCGATGCTTCCTCGGCTGCTTCGGATGAACTTAACGGTGCCCGAGATTCAGCTCCACCTGAATGACTCTGAGATTCTGAATTTCATCAAGCTCGTGGGCCATATAGTGCAACCAAAGTCTCCACCAGTAGACATGCTCTCAGCAGAAGTGCAAGAGCAGACGAAAGCGGCTGTGGAAGCTCTCTCGACTCGGTCGATCCGGAGTTTCAGCATTTTTCGGCGTTCCAAAAAGGACAAGAAGCCCAAGAGCTCAGTTTCTGATCGAGAGCTTGGAACGCCAGTGTCACAAATAGCTGATATGGCCGCAGATATGGCGGACATCATGGCTACAAAGGCCAAGAAGGCCTCCGGGCCGGTTCTTCGCTGTTTAAGTGGGTCGGATCGGGTCAAAGAAATGTTATTTGAAAGTTAAAGAGATCAAACAAAGAAGGTGATTGGATCACGTTCATGATTATTTGTTCCTTTTCCTCTCTTTCCTTTATAAAAGACTTTGGAAGGCTGGGGATGCTGCAAGCGCTGCAGCCGCAGACAAGGCACGGCGCACTGCTGCAGCTATGGCAGGAAGTGCTGCAGCTGGGGCGGTGGCAGGTGCCGCAAGTGAAGGGGAGGGGAGGTGCCATGATGTAACTTAATTCTAATTCTATAGATTGTTTCTAATAGTTTTTTGTTCCTAGTAGTAAGGCCCTTGTTCCTAGTAGCTTCTTGTTCCTAGTAGTACGGCCAGGAGGCTGTGTGAATGTTGTGGCCCTTTGGCCCTGTGAATTCCTTCAGATGTCGTTCCAACTCAGTTCCGAACGGCCACTGAAGGCTTCACAACTTCATTGATTGTATTGTCGAAGTTGCTGCAGTGTGGTGTTGAGATTGCAAATATGGGACTACAAACGAGACTTTGAAGATGCCTGCGGTTGAGTGGTTGAAGATTGAATCCCGCAGGTTTAGTAGCAACTGCAGGTGAGGTGTTCAATTTTCCTTGTAAGGTTCACGAGCAACACTCGCATATGGAATCAACACATGCAACCCGCAGCGCCATCAAGTGAGGTGGGCGACCCCAGCCCATAGCACGACCCACTCTTGCGCAAAGAAAGGCCCGCATGGCCACAAGGCTAAGGCATGCAGCCTAGTCCTTGCTAGATGGGCCACCATGCCTAGCTCTCCTTGCACTCCTTGCACTTGTCGATTGACCATCCACCTACACGAGTCAGTTTGATGCAGGGTGG